AGGCTCATCTTCCACAAGTATTCAGCTGAATAAAGATGGGCCTCCTCAAAGCAAGAGGGAACCCTGAACACACTTTGACACTCATAATTATATATTTGCTCAATTGTCCACTCCTCCCCGCCCAGAAGGACTGGCACACCTCACCCAAACAAGCCAGCATACTCTAGATAAGATAAGAAGTACATAAATGTCCTCCCGTGGAAGTCCTCTGAGGGCAAAGGTGTCATCTCAGGGATCTTGGGTGTTTCCTGAGGAACTTTCCCGACCTTGAAGGCCTGCAGAGGCAATGATGTCATAGATATTGGCACATAGACTGTCAGTAAAAACATTAAATTCCTGGTCAACAGATCCAGTTAATTTAATTATGTAGTTTAGGTCTATTACAGGCATAGCCTCATGTATTGGTCTACATCACATAGAACCTCCTCCCTTTAGAATGGTGAGTTATACTGTTTGGATAGGATAGGATTTTCAAGGTAAATAAAAAGTGCCAGATTGAGAATGTCTGATTTAGATTCAAAAGGAAGAATTAACTCCTCAGTTCTAGCTAAATTAGGATAAATCCTCCAGAAACCTTCAATTATTGTCTTCTGTTACAGCATTTAGTTCCTTCAGTACATAGTTGGTTTTACTCTCTTGTGTGAACCAGGGTTCCTCAACCCCCAGTCCGTGGACTATCACCAGGCTGCGGCATGCCAAACACTGAGCCGCAGAAAAAAGCAAAGCCCCATCCGTGGGATGCAGGCAGCACATGAAATCATGCCCTCTCCGGTCCGTAGAAAAAAACTCTCTTCACGGAACCAATCCTGGGTGCCCAAAAGGTTGGAGGCCGCTGATGTAGACATTGACCAAATACTGCAAAAAGGCCACCTCAATGGTATTTTGCTATCAACAGATATTCACCAATGTGTACCTCATGAGTTATTATTCCAAGACTTCTTTTTTATTTAGGTTTCATTAAGGTGAAAGTCATCATTTTCAGTGACCTTATCTAGGGGTGGGATTCAAAATTTTAAACAACCAGTGAGCGTGGCTTAGGTGGTGGGTGTGGCTTGGTGGTCATGTGACTGGGTGGACATGGCTTGGTGGTCATGTTATTGGCTGGGCGTGGCCAACCTAATATCACTCACATCAAGGCACACATCTCATCTGGCCTCTCATGACTGTGGAGATGCTGCAACAGTCATAAGTGTGAAAAATGGTCATAAGTCACTTTTTTCAGTGCCATTGTAACTTTGAATGGTCACTCCACACAAGCAAAGTACCAGCAAAGGAGGGGGAAAAAAACTCCAGAGAAGTTCCAGAGACAGGAAGTCTAGTCCTGCCAAGAATGTAATAAGGCAGGGGTCCCTAACCACCGGGCCCCGGACTGGTACCGGTCTGTGGATCATTTTGTACCCGGCCACCTACTTTGCTTGGGCGATGCCATCTTGTTTTGACGGTGCTTGAAAAAGTGCTTCCGGGTGAGCTTGTCGGTCGTCGGTTGGAAAGTGGCGTTTGGGTGCTGAAGGAATCCTCGCATCTTAGTTTCGTCAAAGGGGGGGGGGGGCGGCTTCGAATGAAGAGCCGTCCTGATGGTGGTGGAATCTCGCGTTACTCAGGAAGAGATTAAGAAAGAGCCCGAAAAGCCCATCGACAGCAAGAAGGTACAAAGGAGGAGTTGAAGGTGGCAGGGAGAAGCTTGGCTTGGCTTGCCTTGTTCATGCGTGCTGATGCCGGTACCGGTCCGTGGATCATTTTGTGATGCCCAGTACCAGGCCGTGGTACAAAAAAGGTTGGGGACCACTGTAATAAGGGATAACGGAGAGGCAGTTTCTGTAAGCAACACCAGAATGTTTCCTTCCTGCCTTCCTTACAGGATTAGGCCAGTAATTTCTTCTAACAACCGGTTCTCTGAACTGTTTAGAATGGTTCTAGGAAATAGGTGTGAACTGGTAGAATCCCACCCCTGACCTTATCTGGACTCAGAAGCTGAGCAGATTCAGTTTAGTTCAGGGGTGTCAAACTGAATTTCTTTGAAGGCCGGATCAGCATTGTAATTCTCCTCAATGGGCTGGCTGGGAGTGGGAGGGAGATGGGACGCATGCCTCCTTCAGCACTCTGTCAGCCAAAACAGATCACAGGGGGACCACATGTGATCCCACATCTGTTTTGGCTGGCAGGGTTTTGCAAGAGGCCATCCAGGCTGAAAATGGGGCACAGGGGGCTGCATGTGACCTCCCTACACCCTGTTTTGTCTGCCAGAGGCACTGCAGGCTGTTTTTTTGCTATTTCCAGGACAGCCTCAAGGGCCAGATTTAAGTACCCTGCAGACTGGATCTGGTTGCAGTGAACCGAGATCATGCAATCCCCTTTTGTGACCTTCTGTTATTTGTAAATAACAAGTTAAGCAATGGAGGTTTCTTTCTTATTTTGAAATGAAGGTTTTTAATGTTCATAAATTAGTCACTCAAAGTCACATTGACCTGTGGGCACGGTGGCTCACCTTGGTAAGACGCTGGGCCTGCACTCTGCTGAGGTTGCCAGCTCAGCGGCTCGATTCCCATGAGCGAATAAACCATGGAGGGACAAGGAAGGAGCCTCCCACGATTGCCTACTGGCATTCAGGCATCCCACGGGCAAAGATAACACTGCTCAAAAAAATTCCTTTCACAGAGGCAGCCAGCTGCCTTGGTGATCCTTGGGTAACACGTGCCACACGCTAAATAAATAAAATGATCTCGATCTGTGAGATAGGCAGTAAATACATTTAATAATTAATAAATAAATATGCCCAGACATTATCCCAAAAAGAAATTTATTTGAAAATATTTTTTTTGCAAGCTTGTCTTTTATACATCTCTCCTTATCCCCTTGATTGATGAATGGATGCCTACCTGTGTATATAATACCTATGCACAGAATATATAATCCTTTTTCACCTCATTTATCTGGCTCGCGACCCTTTGGCCCTACAACGAAGAAACTTTTAACAGCATTTCAAAAAGCATTCAGCCATAAAAGCCTGATGGGTTTTTCTCACACTGATCCTATTTCTTGGCTTACCTGCATTTACTTAAGCGTCTAAGTCTTATGGCTCCTTCAACATAAATTCATTTTTCTGTCTCTTCTTCAAGATCCTAGTTCATTATGGCTACAACTCGGGTGAGGTGTTTCCAGATTGAAGTAAATTTAACTGAAAAAGTTCACATTGAAGTTTATTGCCTCGTACAGCCAACATGGATAGCTGTAAGGGTGAGGGAGATTTGCTGTAAATCCTGAAGAGAAACTTGGTTTGATCACCAAATGGAGAGGCATTAATGGGAAGGAACCTTGGCATTTTGTGCATGTCCATTCTCACCAATACTTTTTCATTAATAGCAAACTCAGGGGCAAGCAACTTGTTAGTTTGGAAGAAAAATTGAACAATCTATAAAGAATACAATTGTTCTTTTATGTTTGAGGAAACTTTCTGGATGTTCAAATATTAGAAGGCTTTGTAAGACCTGACCATACTCATTGATAGAGATTTATCCTGGAAATAAGGAGAAACTTTCTGACAGTGAGAACAATCAACCAATGGAACAGCTTGCCCTCGAAAGTTGTGGGAACGCCATCATTTGAGACTTCCAAGAAGAGATTTGACTGCCATCTGTCAGAAATGGTGTAGGGTCTCCCGCTTGGGCGGGGGGGGGGGGTTGGACTAGATGTCCTACAAGGTCCCTTCCAACTCTGATTATCTGTTATCTATTATCTTATCTATAATATTGTTCATTGGCTGGAATCCCTAGATCAAAATAATTTGTAATGTGTCAAACTATATTTTAGATCCCTTGGAATACTAGTTTTATGTTGTAATTTGGCTTTGTCAAGGTTCTTTCTTTATCTTCCTAGCACTTGCAGAGACTTTTTATCTTACAAATGGATATGCTTTGCACATGAATCTATTATGAAATATATCCTGCTGTTGAAGAACTGAAGTCTGGGAAGTTATAAATCAGCCAAGGAGCACATCAAAAACTGAAATGTACCCAGTGAATTTTATGGGCTTAAGACAGGCTTCTTAAACTGCAGTGCCGAGATCCCCCTAAAATCAATGAATTGGTGTCATATTCACACAAATCAAATGGATGATCTCTCCATTGATCTCACTGATCTCCACTCACATTCAGTAGTTATGAGTTCTCCCGTATAGGTAATGTGTTCAAAAGTCAAATATTAGAGGAGCTAATGGCTGGGTGGAAACAAATTTAAAAGATAAAAATATGCTTATTTTCAACCATGCTTGGTAAAAATAACTAATATATTAAAATGTATCATTGATACATTGATTTTGGGACTTTAAAGTGTTGATAATGATTCAAATTAAAGGGTAGTAGTTTAACCTTCTCCTAAACTGGAATTTTCAAGATGTGTGAAAAGACAATTCCTATAATTGCTAATGGGTATTATATTTATTGTAAATTATGGAATTTGTTGTCCAAAAGCAAGGAAACCAAGTCAGGGAATATTTCATTAGAGAGATAGAGGAATGAATCAATTGAAAACTTTACAAGGGTCTCTTGTAAAATCTCATTCCTTGACATTTGAAGGGGGATTCCCAGCAAAATAGCTATTTTTATTTCTTCAGAAATGAAGACATATTTAAAGTTGGTTGGATCTCACATTACGGTTTCATCATGATTCCATTTATAAAGAAATCTATGAATATTGATTAGTTTTTAACAAAGCAAAAACAAAACAAAGCAAAGTTTTAAAATAATATTCTCAGCCATCTTTTCATGCCAAATTCATGTGAATTTGAGCTAATCCTCTTTTTCAGCAATACAACTGTTATCATCATATTTGGAAATACAAGGTTTCAGAGCCAGACTTTTCATGTCTAAGCATTCAGACTTCCTGCCTGAATGAACAAAGCAGTCAGTTTCCTTGTTTCCTTGTTACTATCTTTTTAATACACACACAAGGGTTTTTTTTGTTCTGTTTTAATCTTTTGCTTTCTTCTTTCTTTGTGTTTCCAGATTTGGATGATCCAATTGTGACAGTTCACCAGAGCATTGGTGAAGCAAAAGAACAGTTTTACTACGAGAGAACTGTGTTTCTTAGGTGTGTAGCCAATTCCAACCCACCTGTTCGGTACAGTTGGAGGCGAGGGCAAGAGGTGCTATTACAAGGATCCGACAAAGGTGTTGAAATTTATGAGCCCTTCTTTACGCAGGTAGGGATCAAGGTACAGTCATATTTTTGACATTATTTTCCCCTAGGGGAAATAGGGGAATAATCATGTTTTCTCTTCAAACTATGATGTCCATTACAAAGTAATTGTAATTTTTTATAATTTACTACTATTACTAAGAAGTATTGAGATAATTTTTTTAATCTTTAAAAATTTCTGCAATCTGGACAAGTGTAATAATGCCCAAAATGCATTTAATTTTTTTTTTTAAAAAAAAAAATATTGTGATGTTTTTTGTGCTGCACAAGATATCTATATAGGACAGAATGTGATGGGAGGAGCACACATTCTAAATATACGAATATAGGGTGTCACAGTGGTTGGAATGCAGTATTGCAGGCTAATTCTGCCCATAGTCTGCAGTTCGATCCTGACTGTCTCAAGGTTGATTTAACCTTCCATCCTTTCGAGGTTGGTAAAATGAGGACCCTGATTATTGGGGGCAATAGGCTGACTCTGTAAATGGCTCAAAGACTGCTGTAAGGTATGAAGTAGTATACAAGTCTAAGTGCTATGGCTATTACTATTGCTAGAGTGAAAATACACATTATAGTGGGAAAAATGCTTGTAATTTTTCCAAATCTTAGGAAAAATACTCCCACAATGAACACCATAGAACCATTGTGCTCAGAAACTATTTAAAGAATCTGTGCTTGCCACATAATCCTGAGTTCCACAGATTAGAAATGTATTCCTCTATGTATATATAATGGCAACAGACTATAGCATAAGCATAGTTAGCTTTAGGTAAAGTTAAAGAAGACACCCATGTATACCATAAAAAAGAACTGGAATTTGCACCCTGTCTTCCTTCTCCTCTTTCTCCTTCTTCTCCTCTCCCTCTCCACTCTCTCTCCCGCACTCTCTTTCTCCTCTCTTTCCCCCCTTGGGAAATTTCAGATTTGCTCACAAGAGAATGTGTAGCATAAATGTTAAAACTATTTTTGCCAAAGTAAGTGAGGAAAATTTTATTTATTTTATTTTATTTTTTATTTTATTTTATTTGGTTTGTCAATTGCTTACAAGATAATAGGTATAAGTAAAAACATAGTTATGAAAACATGGATACATATAAGAAAAAAAATGAAATAATAAATAATAATGAAAAAAAATATAATATATATTTTTGCGGGTATTTGTATGTGGATCTTTGGTTATTTGGGTTTTCTCCTGTGTAAAATTGGAAGTATCTATGTGATGTTTCGATGAAGTTTCATTCATCATCTTCAGGCTTGTGTCTTTGACTCTGTGCTTCTCAGAGTAATGTGAGCTTGCAGCTGCTTCTTCCTTTAACTGCTAGTGGGGGTGTGACTTGATTGGGTGGGGGCTTGGCTGTGTTCTGATTGGGTGGGGGGGTGTTCTCATTGGTTGGGGGTTTGGCTGTGTTCCGATTGGCTGGGGGTGTGTTCTGTTCAGGTGGGGGCTTGGTTGTACTCAGGTTAGTCTTACTTGCTGAGGGATTTGAGCTGGTGAGCTGTGATCCTGTTGTTTGGCTTCTCATTTGTGGTCATGCCACATATTCATGGTGGGCATCAGTTTGCTTCATGTATGGGTCGGAGGGGTTTGAAGTGGGTAGTTGTGCTCACATTACTCCAAGAAGCACAAAGCCGAAAACATAAGCCTGAAGATGATGAATGAGACTTCATCGAAACATCGCCTAGATACCCGCTTGGATGAACACAAAAATGCAGTAAAAAAGCTGGAACACACTTCCTCACTAGTCCAACACATGAAAGCCACAGGTCATATAGCATCAACTTCAATGGCACCAAAACCCTAGCCACTATTAAAAAACCCAGCCACAGAATTATCAGAGAAGGTATAGAGATTGAAAAAAGACCTGAAAGCATGAATAGAAGAGATGATTCCACAAGACTGTCAATTATTTGGAAGACTGCACTCACAAACAAAAAAATCTCCACACCACAAGCCAGGCAAACACATGGGCACAAACAGATCCCCCCTGATACCTCCAGCTCAAACACACCCCAACCAGGCACCCAGATGAAACCTAGCTTCCTAACAAATGATAGCCGTCCATTTACTTGGAGCCAAGCTGCACTAAGAGCCTCCAATACAGGAACACAATGTTGCCAGCCAATCAAGACACAAAAAAAGCCACAAAACAGACAGAAGATATTAGAAACACCAATCAAGCAGAACACAGCAAACTCCAAGACCAATAAACACAGACCAAGACTCCCAACCAATCAGGATGAAGAAAAAACCATTCTGGCATAGCAGTAGGCTAGCCCCAAATTTAAAACTGAAACAACTGTAAAAGTCTGACTCACAGACGTACACAATACAGAAGCCTGATGATGGTAGATGAGATTCTCCCGAAATGTTGCTACAACTTTAAAAGCACAACTACAATGACGTGGGAAAATACCCGAACAAAGCTGAATGCCATACATGTAAGTACCCACGAAAACTTGAGAATATAATAATGAAAAATATATGTATAATAATGAAAAATGGGTGCACCTTTGCTACAAAATCCAGAAAGTTGTTTTTTTTAATGTGGAGTAAGGAATAGCTTGATGGCCTACCATTATTCATGAATAGCTAACAATACATACAGCATTGCATGCTAGACTTAGAGATTGTAAGTGTGCAAGCTATCAAGGCCATGAACAAGGGCTTGACTCTACCTATTTCTTTCCCAACTCCTGGGATCAAGTCATAAGAATCTGTGAAAGGAAACAAATGAGATGCTGAGTGTACAATTGGCAACCAAGCACAAAACCACTTGCAACTTTTGTGGATAATTTTCAACTAATGGCTTGGAAAGCCCCATTTCTTTTGTCCTTTTTTATACTTGACAGTTTTATATTGCAGAGAAACAAAGAGGCTGGAATCGTAGGGTGAGAAGGGATTTGATTCTTTCAGTTCTATTGCACTACCATCTGAGTGCACCACCATCTGAGTTAAATCATAGAAATGTCATGCTCATTTTGTCATATTCCTTTTTTGCATGCTGGATTAATTAGCATGATCTATAGAGTAATACCCCATATAAATATAGTTAACTTGAATAGGATTTATTTACCTGTGATTATCCCAACATAGGGAAAACTGCTTTCAGCCTTAATCTGTAAAGTAATCACGAAGGTGATGTATAAGAGCCAGTTTGTCTAGTTGTTAAGGCATGCAGCTAGAAAATGAGAGAGCATGAATTTTGCTCCTGCCTCAGCCTTGAAAACCAGCTGGGTGATCTTGGGCTAGCCTAATTCATTATGGAGAAAATAAGAGGACAAAGGTATGTTGGATATGTTCCCTGCCTTGAGTTATTTATAAAAATAATAAAGGTGGAATACATACATACTTACATGTAGGAATACAAAGTATTATTCTATCTTGCCATCTACTTCTGCCCATGTGAATAAAAAAATACTGGTGAGTCAAATACAGAAAATTTCCAAGAAGCATTTGATCACAAGCCAATTTTTTTTAAAAAGCAGAAAGGATTATGGGAAGTAAAAGAGAATGTTTAATGAGATAGAAAGCAACTTATGTCCTTTATCGAGACTCTAGTATTTCTACACGGTATCAATGGAACTCCGAGCCAGGAAAAATTATAAAATGATGGTGGTGGTGGTGGTGGTGGTGGTGTCATACATTTCTTGATTTATCTAAGTAGACATCTGGAAAATGAAAGAATTGTTGCTGCAGAAGATCCTATGTAGTTATTCCAGAAATTTACATGTTAATTATCTCAAGAAAATACATATGAATAAAGTTATTTGAGATTAGCATATTCTATGACTTGGGAGAGATGCACTACTTTTACACTCTGCTCATGGACATCCATCAAAAACAAGACCCAAACTCTTGAATATTAGACAAAGAATATAAAAGGACAACATTTGCTGAAGTCAGTTCTGTTGCATATAAAGGGTACCTTAGATTTTTCCCACCTGGATTGTTTAGCTATATCTTTTGAATACATTAATTTACCAGTTTTGATATAAACATGCACCAATGATTTCATTATATAGATGCTGGCTATGGTAATTTTTGAGATCTTTTCATACAAGTTTTGGATCTTTTAACCTAGCAGTATAATAATATTTTAGTACCCAAAAAACTTTTTATCTCACTTTATTGCTAAAATGCTCATTGTACATTCAAGGGAGAATGGATCTTATCAAAATACTCCTTGACATAATTACAGAATTTCCATTGCTAAATGATGTTAAGTAAGTCTGGTTTTATTACCATATTTTCCCATGGTCATTAAGTGAATCACACATTTAGGTGAAACCAGCTTCCTCCATTGGCTTTGCTTTACAGAATCCTCCAGGAAAGGTTGCAAATAGCAATCACAGGCCCTCAAGATGTTGTAACTATCATAAATACATGCCAGTTGCCAAGCTCCCAGATTTCACGAAGTTTTAAATTAATTCTTATCTTAAATAGGAATATACAGAAATTTCCAAGAGAAAACTAAACACAGTAGAGAAAGGAAGAGAAAATGAAAATGTAATGGAAAGGATCAGAAGTTCAGTACTCATAAACACAATGCCATATTGAATGGCTTAAAACAACTTCCAATATAGCAATTCAGTTGAATTGTTAACTAACCAGTAATCGTTAGTTAAGAATTGCTGTTGGTTAATTAACATCAATTAATTAAATGTTAGGGGGCATGATTTCTCAGTGGTTAAAGATGCTAAGCTTGCCAGCTGGAAAACTGACACCCTGGGTTCGAGACCTCAGCGCCCCAGGATGGGATGAGCTCCCATCCTTGCTCCAGCTTCTGCCCACCTAGCTGTTCAAAAGAATGCAAATGTGAGCAGATAAATAAGTACCACTTTGGTGGGAATGTAACAGCATTCTCTGCACCTCAGTGTATAGTCATGCTGGCTACATGATCATGGAAATGTCTTTGGACAATATTGGTTCCCTTGGCTAAGAAATGGAGATGAGCACCTCCTAAAGTGAGACATGACTGGACAGGGGAAACCTTTATCTTTTTT